GGACAAACCCTGGGGGCTGGGAAGGGGGCGTAGGATGGATACAGGTAGGCAACAGCCTTCAGGACTCCAGGGTCACACCTCAGTCCCCAGCTCCCTACTGCCAGCAGCCCTTGCTAGATTAGAGGTGGAGGTGAAGGTTGAAAGGAGGCTGGCTTGGTGGACAGTGTTTCCCTAGTGAGTCACCCACAGTCAGTGCTTCAGGTGTTCTTCAAAACGCCACTTTTGACATAAGGAGGACCCTTTAGCATGATCCAGGTGGTAGATGTGATTAAAAAAAACACAACAGCTCTACAGTTTTCCTCATCCTCCTTCTAAAGTGAAATAGGGCTGTGACTGTGAGCACAGGAAAGTGTGTTAAAAGTCAGAGGGCATGGTTTCTCCATCGTTTGAAGCATTCCCGTCACTGCCGTAAGGGGGAGGGCTGTGTTCTTTGCGGAAATGCTGCACGGTGGCCCACGGATGTGCATACTTGCATGTGTGCCCATGGACATCAGCTGCTGGCACTTGCTCCCCATCCTGGCAACCTTTCAGGAGGTACTACGGCAAGGACCTGAAGTTCAATGTACTTAAAAAGCTCCGTGCGCCAGAAGACATCACCATGTCTTCAAACGTCTTAAGTGAAAGAAGGTCTTGCCAAAAGTGTGGGGCTTGGTCTTTTCTTAAGATACGGAAATAGTCCCTGAAAGAGCCGTGGGGGGTGGTATGGGGGAAAAATATGAGCGATGAGTCCTGATTCATGGTGGGAAAGTAGGAGAAAGAAGAGCCTGGATTTGTCATAATAATGAGAAGTCCCCAGAGTAGGTATTAGTTATCCCGCCAACAAATGCATAAGGTCTACAAGAATGGCTTTAAATAAATAAGTAGCATTGATTCCTAAATCATATTTCTGCATTCAGGAGCAATGGATGTCAATCAAACGTGGGTGACATTTGCTTGTCAATACAGGGATGATGGCTGGGAAGACGTGATTTACTCCATCGGGGCGGGAATGTGAAATGAGACATAGGAACAAATGCGATTACAACAAGCCAGCAGTCACATCCCAGGTGGCAGCCAGCGGCCTGTGATCTTGTCTGTGGTGTCCACAGTACGCGGTCTCCTCTCAGTTCCATCTACCTTTGTCCCCTCTTCCCTCATCACCCTCCTAGTTTAGGTCTCTCTTCCCTGCTTCCCTAGCTCGAAATAAAAGAAGGTCAAATGAGCAGACAGAAGGAAACAAGGATTCAGTGATTCTTTTCAGAAAAATGTCAGCAGCTCCTTGAGCTTTTTCCTGGGAGAATCTGCTCCAGGAAAGCTGTCCTCAGTCTCCACGTTCTCTCTCCCCTCCTCCTCCCCCACCACCCCCTGAGTGCTGATACGGCTGTTCACTGTTCCTGGGACTGGAACCTGCTCTTTGCCCCTCCCCAGGCTTTAACATGGATTCTAAGGTAGTGGTTGTATCAATGTGGGGCTAAGTCTTATGCTTCAACACACACATTTTAGTCGTACTTTTGCTAGCATGAGCTGTCTGCTTGGCGTACTTTAAAGCAGAAGACACATGATCACTTATCTCCTGGCCATAATATCTCTTTTCTCAAACACCTCTGCATGGCCTTCCCTAAGTCAGCGCTCACTTAGAGACAAAAGGATTCACCTCCGTTTGCAGCAATGGAGACTAATACATTACTAAAATAAGCCCTTTCCCTGATACCCCCAGTTATCAAAATTGCTAAAGAAAACTTGGTGGCAGAGAAAAGGAGATTTCCAAACAAACAAAAAACGGTAGTGTATAGGTGGGTAACAAACGAGTTGCCATTTCAGCAAGTTTCACAGGTCCAGGTCAGTGGTATCATATATGTTCATTGTGTTGTTTGCCCACTAACTATTTGTTTTTTTTAAATCATTTGATTGGGTCCGCTAACCATTCTTGAATTTTTCCTTTCCCCATAACGGAATGTCCAAGTCCCCTTCGCCTCCTTTCTTCCATCTCCTCTCTCTCACCCATCCCTGGTAACTCCCGATCAATCACCTTATACTCTCTCCATCTTCACCTATTCTAGGAATTCTAGAAAAGTGGACATCGTCCAGTATATGCCCTTTTGTGACAGACTTATTTCACTCAGCGTACTTATTTCACTCAGCATACATCCATGTTGGATGTAGTATGCATCGGGACTTGGTTTCTGAAAAGAAGAACTTTGCTAACAGGTAGTTTTATATTCTTGGACTCTCAGCAAAAGCCCCGGGATAACTAGAACTTTCCCACCAGAGAGTGCTTACCTTGTGGGGGAACTAATTAAGGATCCTATGAAATCTTAGAGTTGAAACAGACCCTAGGAACCTAGCCTTTAGTCTGCTCACTTTGCAGATAAGGATACTGAGGCAGAACAGAGCAGAGTGGAATCCGGGCCATCGAGTAAGGTGGTGGGGGTGGGCAGGGGTTCCCTAATACTTGGAAGCTCTGCTGGGATTCAGAAAGAGACACATTGTGACTACTCGTTATGAAGCCATGCGTTGACCCAGCCTTTCCGTCACTGACACAGATTTAGCCAATGGACACTTGGCATGGACACCGTGTGTGCGTGTCAAGAGTGTGTGTGTGTGTGATTGGCTTAAACCGTCGGTGGCTTTCCACTCTATAAATTTCCCCATCATGGACTTTTGGGGACCCTGACTTTGGTTCTCCCAAGAGTTCCGGGTATGTTGGGTGTTAGACGCCCTTGTGGAGGCTGAGGCCACTTTATTTATGCTGCCTGGATTTCTCAGAAGGTTCTCTGGAAAGTTACTCATGTTTCAGCTCTTATTCTGACAGTTTGAATAAGCCATCTGATATGGCATATTACTCATCATCTTTATATGTATATAATAATAGAAAACGTGTCCATTAAAAAAATCTATTTGATTTTCTTCAGTCCTCATCAGAGAAACAAGTTTTCTCTCTTATTTGGTATTAAGCTTGGAAATGGGCCCTAGACTCTATCTAACTCTCCCAGAATTTCCCAAACATTCATAAACAAACAAACAGATCACCAGGCTGTACTAGACTTTGGGAGGATTCCTTTAGATGATAAAGTCAAATCCGGAAGTCAGTGTTCATTCTGATGATCCTATGGGGTTCATCTTGCCTGGATTGTTTCTCCTCCTTTCAAGAAGTTGAGTGGCTCCTGAGCACACAACTCCCACACAGACGTGCACAACCATCCATCAATCTTTACTGAGCGCTCACTGGCAGCGTGGCCCTACACAGGGTTAGCCTAGCCTAGCAAACCAGCATTTAGTCGTGAGAATGATGCCCCAATCCAGCAGCACTTAAACAGAAATAGCTTTTCTTGGAACAGAAAAAAAAATAATTAATTAAATTAAACTCAAGGGCGAGCTAGAGAGATAGACATAAAAAGTTGGGACTGGGTCCACTATTTATCATTCAATTTTGCATCTATATATGGTGTTTCAGAATGCATACTCCTCCGATGGAAGAATGATAGGTTTCCAGCTGGAAAAGATCTGATTAGAGTTATGTAGGAAGACAGCAATGCCCTGTAGCTTTGGAAGCAGATCTTCATTTGAATCCAAGCTGCCTATTTACTAGTGGTGAATGTTCCGGCTTAATTTCCTTTTCTGTCAAATGGGTTG